GCAATTATAATTTTTTAAAAAACTTCCACACATTAAAAGGATAATTTCTCTGTGCCATGTTTAATGCTGAATGTTTTAAATTACAGGTTCTCTGAGTATAGCCCAGAGACCCCAGGATTCCCAAGACCTTTTCCAGGGATTGGTAAAGTTTAAAGTATTTTCATAATGACTCGAAAATGTTAACTGCCTTTTCCACTCTTGTTCTTTCATGAATATACAGTGAAGTTTTCCATCCACTGCATGTGAAACATTTAAGAGGATCCAGTTGTCTTCTATTACGCAAAACATTAAAGAGATTTCACCCAAAAGAAAGATGAAACAATGCCACTCTTCTCACTTCTTTGTTTAGAAAATATTTTTCATTAAACTAATATTTTATTATTACTATGTAATGAGTGGGTTACTGTTTAAAAAAAATTAACAAGTAATTTAAAATGTTTAAAATGTCTCAGGTATAATCTCTAATACAGTAAATATTAATAGCTATAATTTACATAGAAAAAGACTGTTAGAATCCTCAGTTGTTAAGAGTGGATGGTCTTAAGAGCAGTTTGAGAACAGCTGATTCATATTTAATCCACAACTTATCAGGTAATGTTCCCTCTGTCATCATTCCCATAACACAAAATGCAAATGAAAAAACAGACACCAGTAATTTGCCCAAGATCATGTCTCTTAAATCATTATTTGAACACAAGTCTGTAATTCCTAACTGTGACTCCTTCTCACTATTGAGAAATAACATGTACCCCAAAATAGTTAAAGAACACTTTTAGATAGCTACATACCAATCCCCGTTTAAAAGGCGAATTTCTATGTTGGGTCTTTATTCTTTGTATTCAGTCTTAAAAAGCAATGGAGGGCGCACTACAATGCTTTAAATATATAGAATTAACTTTATTTTAAAAAATCAAGCATCAGAAAAATATTCTCCCATCACTGTCAGTACCCTAAGTACCCACTGAAGAAAGGTATTGGTAAGAACTTGGTACCCACTCAGCTCAGCCAGAAGGTATTTATGTATACACATACACATAATACTTTTTATCTGTATAAGTGCATCTTAACTGGGATTCACACTGATTTAACAACTTGCCTTATTCCACTTAATATCTCTTGAAGATCTTCCTGCATCTGCACAATAAGTTCACCTTGTTTTTTAATAGATTACCATTATTCAACTGTACCCAAGTGGTCCACCATAGATTGCTTCCAAATTTTGCTACTAAAAAAACAGACACAAGAAACATGCTGTATATTTGTGTAGTTGTGAAGTCAGAGCTGTTGGAAAATTTCTAGAAGTAAAATTACTGGGTCAAAGAATACAAACATTTAAAATCTTAATCGATTTTGCCAGATGTCCTCCAAAATGTCCTTGCCCAACTGACATTCTCACTAATACATGAGATTTCCTCTAGCAATTCAGTTTTTAAGTGCCTTGAAAATTATACTTTACGCTGCTTCAAAATGAGAGGCAATAAAATTGTTCTCACTGGTCATCTTAATTCCATACAGAACCCAACACAAATCTTGTAACACTAATTGAATATATCAGTATGGTCACCCATCTTTATTTTATCTTTAAACCTTTTAAATACCTCAGAAGAAAAAATATGCCACATAATATCTTCAACTAGTAAGTCCTCAAATTTCAGATACCCTGATAAAAAAGTTATCATAATTATTTCAAAAGACTATTAACGCAAATCAGACCTACACGATAAAGCTTAAATACTTAAATCAAAGGAAAGTTGTAAGCGTGGATTGATTATGCTTTATCTGCCCACTCAAAGGACTAAGGCTACAAATAAAAAAGTTATCAAATCACACCAGTGGCCAGATTAGCCTACATAAAATACTAAGCAACAGATTTCATATCATAAATGTCAATGGAACAGATTGCAATAGTAAAGATGGCTGTAATTGGAAAGAAAGTTCACTCAAACTCACATTGTACAGAAAATGAAAACATTAATATTTTAAATGAAATGTTTTGAATGTGAGTATTCATTTCTGTCATATCAGACTATTATAAATCTTTGGTAGTAATAAATAAAATATGGTCCTCTGTTTTGCAAGTAGATAATCTTAAAATGCTTTATACTCTGACCTGCCTATTCTGTAATGGCTAATGGATATTTCAGGCTTCACTATTTCATCAGAATCTCTTTGCCAGGATTTTGCGCTTAAGTTTTCAATTGACAAGTCTACAGCACATCTTTCGGACATAGTAAAACCTCATTAATTCAAGTCAAATTAGCCCAATTCTGAAATGGTACACGTAATTCTCATTGGACAACAATTTGAAAATGCTGCCAGTTCTTACTCTACAAGTTTTTATAATATTACTGTGAAATAAAAGAAATCAACTTAAAAATCAATTCACTTTTCCAAACCAAAGATTTACAAACTAAGGTCTCATCTTTCACATGAGCTGAGCAGTTCATCCTCAGTTTTAAGGTTCACCTTTGTTTAGAGGCAACTGTATGTGGTGAAAATGAGTTAACTTGTCATTATTACAGTTATTTACTATTTAATTTAGAGTATGTACATTTCTCTTAAATATCTTTTAACTTGCAATTTCTCCCATTATCACTTATAGATCTATAATATCACAAAGACAGAACCTTAAAACCTATAGAAGCAAACTTTGAATTGCCTGGCATTCTTATATATAATCTGATGAGATGGAAGAAGTTTCTAAGCCAAAATATAAGTCCCAGGATTAAGTGGCATGGCTGGTGTTACGTGAATTTACAACTAACTATTCCCAATGAACAGAAACCTTCTCCTGCAATCTGAATCATGTGTAATTACAGTATGACAAGGTCTCTCCTGGGCTATGTAAACTGGCATTTTTCCCAGGACTTGTCACATCATGGGAAGCACACATAACAAATAAAAATCCAAAATTAAACATTTTAAAACAATGGCTTATAGACTACATAAAGAAATCCTACATTTGAGAATAAAATTGAAGAGTCAATCCAACTAGCAGACATCTCTCACTAGAGACATCTGAGACGATATCACTGTTATCAAGCAGGTTACCACGCCTAGCAACAACTCCCAGGTGTGGGCTATGTGGGCAGCACCTTCCTGCTTTCCCCAGGCTGGACAGAAAATCATTAAGTATGGGAAATGGAGAGAAACATCACCATGCACACCCACTGCAGCAGAGAAACAGTAGTGAAATATTGGGAAGTTGAACATCTTTAATTTCATAATGCCAATTTGTTGATTGTCAAGGTACCTGCACAAAGTTATCTTAAGAACTACATCTGACAAGTGCCTTAATTTTCCTAATATAATAAATATTGCTTTTTTTTTGTTATGTGCATTTCACCTCAAAGTGAACAGCAGCCAAATAGTCACAATAGTGTGTACCAATGATCCTAGGAGGTGGTTTCTTTTGTTTAAACTCCTCTGCAGCAGCTCCTCTGAAAGGGGAGAGCAAGATCCCAGCAAAGGATGCTTCCTTCCCTACATACCTCATACACTGACAGAAACTTGACAGTACTCATCCGTATCACAGTTTCCAGGAAATATGAGCTATAATATCCCTGGCTACATTTTGATATACAAGGCTAACAAAATCTAAATGTTATTTCCTATAAGCCATGCCAATTCCCACCCCCTATTAGAAGCTGGATTCATTTCTTAGCCATCCAGCAAAGCCCATCAAATTCAACTGTTCAAGTTTTTCAGAGGCACTATAAAACAAACCACTAAAAACAAAACATACCATCCTATGCCCCATAGCAAGAGCTCTGGGAACAAATATAAGCATCAGTACAAACGTCTGCCATCTCTAAGGCACACAGTATTTCTCCTTTCTTTACATCCAGCCCCTGGATGTTCAATAATTTCCACATAGCTCTAAGCAGAAAGGATTTATTATGATGTTACTCTTAAGAAACTGCAGGAGTTCTAGATGCCAATAAAGATTATGGATCAAACAGAAGATAACTACTAACCATTGTGTCGACTTAGATAAATAAACCTGCTCACAAACAAAGCACCTTATTGTATTTGTACTGTTACCTCCACTAATCCAACTAAAACAACCAGACAGTAGCTTTCCAGAGGTTGAAGAGAACAGAAATCGGGATTTCTTGAGCCCCCTACAAATTTCTTTTAAAATAGCACCTCCTTTCTTTTTGTTCCAAAACTGTCTTGTCCCTAATGTTTGGAACTGTAGAGGCTGAACAGGATTACGCAAACCAGACACCGACGTGGGAAGGGCTGAAGCAGAAGGCAAGACCACAGCGTTTTCCTCTAAAACTTAGCTTCGACCTTTGCAGGGACCCTCTTCCCCGCAGATCACATTGGGCAGACACTTTACTTGGGAACGTGCTCAAAATCTAATGAGCAGTCAAGTGCTTGCTGCTGGGGGCTAGGAACCAGTAAGCCCCCAACTAAACATAAAATCCTAACTGTGGGTGGTGGGGAGCCTAATCCACAAAAAAAAAAAAAAGGAAAGTCTGTGACAATTAGCACCCTATGTCCCATACATCGGAAGGCAGGCAGGACCCTAAAGAAGCTACTTCGCAAAAACGGAACAATAATTAGATTTCAAGAATTCTTGCTAATAACACAGGTAAATGTCAATTTCTCCAGGAAAAAAATAAAAAGCGCAGACTGTTTATTCCCTCCAGCCCCACTCCTCACGCCTCCTAACCCCACAACTAATTGCACCTTCCCCACAGAACCCGCGGCTACCCCCAGAGGACCGGTGAGGGCTGGCTTGGGATGAATAAACACTCGACACCTGACGGTCCTTTCACAGTGGTGACTTTCACGGAGCCGAAGTCGCGCGCGCGCGGGCGGGAGCAGGGACCTGGCCCGCGCGGCGCCGCGCACCCAGGTCCCGAGGCTGCGCCAGCGAGAGAGACGCGGGGGGGCAGGGAGAGGGGCAGGGGGACCGCCCCGGCCAAGCGATTGTTTCCTCCGCCGGCAAAGACATTTTTTATCGAGCTCCTTTTGTATTCAAGCCCTACCTCTTTTTGGCCTAGGAAAGCTTTCGTGCAAGTGGAAGACGACTTTCTCCACAAAGTGCTGTATGTTACTGTGCTCCGGGCCGCGCACGAACACCATCCAGTCGTGGGTGAAGCCCTCCACGGTGGGTTTTTTCCTCACCTGGGCGCGGTGCCCCAGCTCCAGCTTCACCTGCACGGCACACTGCGGGCAGGGGGAGGAGAGACAGTATGAACAACAGGAAGGCGACCGTTCGACACTGAACATTGCGCCTGACATTTTTTTCCTCCTTCTTGAAACGCACATAAAAGGAAACAGCGGTGCCCTCTGCATCCACGTTTCACGCGCGTGGGCGCGCACACCCCACACCCCCAAATACACCCTAGCGGGCCAGCACGGCCCCTGGCGCCCCGGGTCCCGCATCCACACCGGCCGGGATTGTAAGGGAATGTTACCCCCGATCCGAAAGGGGGTCCGAAGATGTGGGGGGAAAGAGGCAAGAGAGCACACTTAGCTCCTACAAGCACGACAACAAAATGCATCGGAAACAAATTAGGAGACAATTAGGAGGCAATGCCCGGGCGGTTTCCCGGCGTGGAAAGGGAGGTCGCTGGAATTCCAAGTGGGGGTTCTGGCGAGCCCCCTCCGCGAAAGTACCGCGGCGACAGGCACACGCCGAGCAAGTCTTTGTGTACGTGTGTGTGTGCGTGCGTGTGGAGCGCTGTGCCAGGCGGAATGGAAACTACAGGCAGCCTCTGCTGATGGGCACAAACTCCCGTGCTCCTACCACGGGGTTCGTGCACAGCAAAAACGAGACGTCGTCACACACACACACACACACACACACACACACACACACGCACTCCGAGGCATCCCTAACTTAAGGTACCCCGCGCCCCCCAACGAAGAGCCCCACGCGATCGGCGATACCAGCCCCACAGAGCCCCGGCAACACACTTCCATGAGCAAAAGTGGCCCCAAAGTCCCTCCCACCTCCCCCCAGAAAAACCATATTCCGAAAGGCAGGGCGGCGGGTGAACAGTCCCCGAGCCTCGACTGCGCACAGCCGGGCGCGGGGGCAAAGTTGCGTGCGGCCCCGCCGCTGTCAGCTCACACTCGGGCTCACACTCGCGCGCCGCGGAGAACGCACCATCTTAGCGGCCGCCGAGGCTGCTCGCCGCGTCCCCGGACTGTGCCCGCGGCTCCCAGCGGCGGCGGCGGCTGAAATATGGCTGAGTTATTATTCGCCTCCTTCCACCGTGTGTGTGTGTGTGTGTGTGAGAGAGAGAGAGTGTGTGTGTGCGAGTGTGCGAGTGTGTGAGTGCGCGCGTGTGAGCGAGTGCGCTTCTTGCGATTGCAAAGAGGCGAGGCGGGAGGGCGGTGCGGGGGGTGGAGGGGCGAGTGTGTGTTCGTGTGTGTTGGAGTGTGTGAGTGTCTGTGCATGTGTGTGTGCGCGCGCCGGGGGGGTGGGGGAGGGCGGAGAGCGGAGGCTGAGGGAGAGGCAGCAGCTCCCTGCAAGCCGTACCAACCTTTTTCTCTAATTGGAACCGCGGAGCCCTGGCGCTGTCTGGGCTGCGTCGGAGGCGCAGGGCGAGGGAGGAAAGGCGGGGAGAGGGGGGGGTCTTTATTATTATTTTTGCATGTACTTACCGAGCTAGCCATGCCTGGGGGCCCGGAGGTTTGCTGGGGTGTTGTGTGGTACCCCCCTCCCGCGCCCCCCTCAGCTGTAATTCATGAAGAGGCTGCTATGAATGAGAGCGCGCCCAGGAGCGGAGGGTAGATGGCGGACATTCTCTGCCTTTTTCCCCCCGCGATCGCTTGCTCGCTCGCTGGCTTATTAAACTCAGCCCCAAAAGCAAAAGCAGCAGCAGCAGCAGCAGCTCCAGGGCCAGAGGATGAGATTCCGGAGCATGCGCCGTGGCGCCTGACACGGGGCTCCGAGCCTCACGGGGCGGAGGGAGGGCGCGCGGGCGGGGCGGGGCGCGCGGGGAGGCCGAGCGAGCGAGCCAGGGGGAGCTCGAAAGAGCCAATCACCGGCCACCTCCCGAAACCCCGGCGGCCCGCACCGCCACACTGGAACGCCTGGCTTAAAGTAACAGGTTCCTGCTGGGGTAAGGGGGGGCGCTAGGGGGAGGTGGCCAGCAGGGCGGGGAGGGGGCGCTGGTGTGGGGAGAGCGGCCAGCTGGGGAGCCCTCCCAGCCCCCGTGCAAACTCCTCTCTCCCTACAATAAAAAACGGATTAAAACTGCTGGAATGTAGCCACTGCGTGGAGCCCCCAGCAGCCGGAGAAGGGGTGCTCCATCAAGGCTTCAGCGTTAGTTAGCTCTCTCGGAGGGGGGCGCAGGCTTTTCTTTTACTTTGCACCACGTCTTTTTTTGTGGGTTTGTGCTAAAAGGCAAGAGCTCATCCCCAAACAAACTTATTTGAAAAGAGAGCGAGAGGAATGCCAACCCTACAAACACGCATCAAATAGCAATCGCTGAGACTGTGCAAACTGGTAACAATCCCCTGGCCTGCTTCCCAGCCCCTCGCAGGCATCCGCCCACCACCCCGCGCCCTGCCCTTCTGCCGCTACCACCGTCACCGAAAATGTAAAAATGAAATGAACAAGAGAGAAACAAGCACGACGTTTCCTTCCAAGGGCACGCCCCCCGCGTAGGTAGTCCCCGGCTGGGAGGCATCACAAAGCGGTGCCCAGGTGAAGGCGAGACACCTGGGAGGGCCGGGGCGGACCCTCGGGGACCAGGATTGAAGTTGTTTTCTTCGGGAGGTTGCCCCTCCTGACAACCTGCTGGGTTGCACAGAACGTGGAAGAGGGTCCTCTGAGGATTCGGGGGGCAACTGGGAGTCTTGAAATAGCAGATAAAGTTAATACTGACTCTAATGTGTATAAATTGGATTATAATCTTTTAACGTGTTGCTGACAGCCAACGTAATCCATTTCTGGATATTAATCTGGTTAGGCTCCCGGGTGACAATCAGTCGCAGGCGCGTTCCCCAAGTCGCGCTCCTGCAAACGTTCCCACTCGGGTTGTATCTGTCTCGGAACCCCGGGACAGAAGAGCGTAGCCACGCGTGGGGTGTGGGGTGGGGGCTGGGGGGGCTGAGGAGGTACCAACTAGCTTCCTTTAGCAATGCAGACAACCTTTACAAAGGAAACGGATAAGATCTAGACCATTGATTTGCAAGTGAAAGATGGGTGTAACTTCAGTTCGTTAAATCAAGATCCTTGCATCTTCCCAGCCCTCATTACTTTTTTGTCCTTTTTATTTTCTTTACTCCCTTTTCACTCCAGTCTCCCGACTTCTTTATCTTAGTTCCTTTCTCTTCTCCCTGACTTACAGCTTTCCTTGTCTCTTTCCTTTGTCTGGGCTCAACTTTCTTGCTTCTTTTGCTTTCTTAAAATCTCGAAAGCAAGTTGTCTCGGCCCTGGAATTAAAGAGAGTGGTACAGGGGGAAGGAGCTTACCTGCAGCATCAAGGGTCCTCATGGTTAATGTTTCTGTTCTCCAGAATTTAAAAAAAAAAAAAAAAAAAAGATAAAGTAACCCGAATCAGATTGCACCACTTCGGGCCAACTTTAATTTCCAATCCAACAAGTCTCCAACTTTAAGTGATTTGAACCCCTGAAAGTACTACTCTCCTCTACCCCAGTTACAACAAAAAAATCTTGAGTTTAAGGACCCCCCCCCATACCTCCTAGTCTTCTAACGGATTGAGCATTGAATGGAAATTTCGGACAACTGAGGGGTAACGTTTTAATCCAAATCCAAGGATTTAGGTTTCTTCAATTTAGCCCCTTGTATGTAGATGCACATCATCGTATAAGTGTACAGGTATATAAGTGTACAGGTAGCTGTGTCTGTCTGTGTGAATAGGGACTAAATTTACACACACAAAGAAAAGCTGGATGTGTAAGAGCTACATGAAGGGTGGACCAACTTGCTATGATTTATTAAGTTTTGATAAAAGTAAAGTTTTGGAAAAATTGAAGTATTCTTTGAAATCATAAGAAAGGAAACTGAGTTATCTGGATGAGCCATTGATAAAGCCATTTCCTATACACTGCAACCATAAGGAAGCGAGTGCAGCTCAGCATACATGTGAAAGACAACAAGCCCATTCTTCGTATGAGTTGATTTCAGAGTTTGGTTAACTTCTTTCAGAGCCAACCAGGTTCTCTTGGGATTCTCACTGTGACTTGTACTCGCGCCAAGTGCCTGGTATCTTCTTTATGCATTGTGTTTCCTAAATTCAGATTTCTTCCAAGAGTAACAAATAAATACTTCGAGTCAGAGAGGGTCTTTCTCCATTACCCTTCCTTTCTCTAAGTGCTTTAAAACCGAACGTAGTGCTAGTTCTTATTCGCCAGAGTGGAAATTTAGATTCGGTCAGTAGATGGCGCACCGAGCCCTTTCACCAACGTCCTTATGTGACCTCTTTACAACAAAAAGACCGGGAGTAGGAAAAAAGGAAAAGAGAACAGTACTCTGACTACTCTAGATTCAACTTTGGACAAAGGAATTAATGCCGATCTTTCCATTTATTAGTTATAACCGATTCTAACGAGCTGGCTATTAATTAAAAGCAATCAAATCAGGAATAACAGCAGACTTATTTTGCATCCAGCTTATCTTTGCACTTTGAGATGCAAATATCAGAAACAACCTTTTAGGTACTTGATAATGTAATTATAAAAAACATTTTGAGGGGCCTCCATGGTGGCGCAAGGGGTTAAGACGCAACCTATGAAACTATCCGCAGTCACTGCAGTACGGGTTCAATCCCCGGCAGGCCAGGGAGATACCCACAGGAGGCAGCAGACCTCTCCTGCCTCACCAGCTGCTCCCCTCAGCAGTGTATTTCAGTCAATCTGCCTGTTCTGTTCCCTGCTTTGTCTCTTGTGTGTCCTCTCACCGCCTCTCCCCCCCCCACAGAAATCTTTGGCCTCTGTCCCAGTTCTTGTATGCATAAATAAATAAATCTTTTTAAAAAAAGAAAGAAAACATTTTGAAAATATATAGTAAGGCAATCTCCTTTAGTACTAAGTACCAAAAATAAAAAAAAATTAATGAAAATGTTGAGAAGTAAAACCATCTATCCAAACAACAATTATTTTACCAAATTCATACTGTAGTATGTAGCACCTATGAAGCACCATGGGTTAGTTTTGAGGAACAGAAAAGCAAAGAGATTGACATTATCACATCAAATAGAATGCTTGATGAAGAATAAGAAAAGATGAGTGTAGGGCAGATCTTCTGATCACTAACACCACCTACCCCTCCACCATCACTTGATTGCAAACTCTTTCAGCTGCAACTGTTTTGTTTAATTTGAAAGTTGAGGTCAATTGCACAACATGAGATCCTTTAAGAGTATTAAGGTGTAAAAAGCAGTTACTTCTTCTTAGAATTTATCTTCCTATTAGATGTGGTAGATTTTTGATGCATGAACTCAAATAATCAGATAAATAAAAAATAACCATTGCTTCTCCTTTGCTATAAGAATGGGGGGGGAGAGAAAGGAAAAGATGCAAAGGAAGAAAACAGACAGTAAACATTTTTGCAAAAATTACACCCACAAAAAGGAGGCCTCCCTTGCGGCCTACGGGTTAATTCTCAGTGCTATCACCACTGTGGCCTGAGTTTGTTCGATCCCCAGCCAGGGAGCCATCCTACATATAGCACAGCAGACCTCTCCTGTCTGATCCACTGCTCCCCTCAGCAGTGTATTTCAGTGGAGCCTCCTGTTCTGCTCCCCACTCTGTCTCTGATGAATCCTCTCACCTGCTGCACCTCTGGCCTACAGCCTAGTTCTTGTATGCATAAATAAATAAATAAAAATGAATTTTTTTTTTAAAGATTTATTCATTTATTTATACAAGCATTGGGTACAGTCAGAAGCACGGGAGGGTGACAGAATTCACCAGAGCCAGAGCAGGGAGCAGAACACACAGACCGACGAAATACACTGCTCAGGGGAACAGCGGGTCTGCTTGCCATGTGGGACCCTCACCGGTGGCGGGGGAATGAACCGGCACTGCAGAGGCTTCGGGCAGCTTTGCAGTCCAGCGCTCAACCTCTGCGCCACCGGGGAGGCCCAATAAAAATGAATCTTTAAAAAAAGTTTTAAAAAATTACACTCAGAATAAGTAAGGATTTTTAAAAAGATTTATTTATTTATGCATGTAAGAACAGGGATATTAGGCCAGAGGTGCTGGGGGTGAGAGGATTCACCAGAGACAGAGTGGGGAACAAAACAGGCAGATTGACTGAAATACACGGCTGAGGGGAGCAGCAGGCAAGACAGGAGAGGTCTGCTGTGCCTTGTGGGTAGATCCCTGACTGGCCAGGGATCGAACTCGTGCTGCAGTGGCTGCTGACAGCTTCATAGGTTGAGCTTTATCCTGTTGTGCCACCAGGGAGGCCCAAGTAAGGAATTTTTTTATAATGGTACACTCTTTCTGTGTACTTCATCCATGGATACATTCACCAAAGCTATATTTTGCTGCTCCATGTGCCAGACACAGAGTTAGGCTCTAAGAATGTAAGAATTGTAAGGTTCCTGTTGTCACAAAGTTTATGACCCAGTGGAGAAGTCTCGCCAAAACCATTCTTTTTTTCCTTTAATTTCTTAATACCTAGATTTGGGATAGAGTTGTGTGTAAAGCATGAGAAATTCATGATTCCAGCATAGTGTATTGGGAACTTCAGAATAACTAAATGGTTATTATTTTGAAGAAAAAAAATTGCTTTGATACACACTTAAGCACCCAGTCCAGGACTGTTTCCTGACATAAGATATACACAAAGCTTTTTAACCACCAGGGCCTCTTCATGTGTAAATTATTCCCTGAGAGTAATTTAAGCAATGCACTTATATATTCAGAAGACAAGAGAGCCTCCACAGTAATAATTTATTAATTTAGCGGGCT